CCTTGCCCCACCCTTCCCAGGTTTCCTAATCAGCCCACTTTTCCTCTTCCCCTCCAAACTGAATGGGATCAGCACACATGTTGAGCACCTCGAATGACCATGCCCAGACTGGGCATAGTCTCGAATCAAATAGAAACTGTCTCCACCCTCTAGGAAGATGGAGCAAATAAAAGAATCATCAGATGAACATAAAATTCAACTGAGTGCTGGAAAGGAGAGGTCCAGGGTACTCCGAGGGCCTAAATGGCAGGAGCTGCTAGGCGAGTGCACACTGGGCAGATTGGAGGATGAGTGGGGCTCGAGCAGGTTGGGGCAGGGAACGGCATGTATGGATGCCTGGAGTTGGGAAGGGACCCAGCTTCTTCATTCCCTCCCAGAATCTCCACCCTTCCTGGGCCACCTGCCCTTGCTCTCAGAGGACATTCCCTCCTGAGTGGTGCCAGCTGGCCTGTACTTCTGCCTCTCTGGGAGTCATCTAGAGCCTCCCCTTGCCTGGCCCAAGGTTCTTGGTTCAGTTAGGCTTGTTCAAAGAGCATTACCAACCAGATGTTGATAGCTGGTGCTTCCCTTTGGTGACACTCAGCTCCAACCTCTGGCTGGCTCTGGGTCTGAGCTAGTGTCCAGAGCCCATGAGAAGGAAACCCCCTAAATTGGTTCCCTTTGCCTTACTCAAACAAATCTACCATGTGATGCTCCTGAAATCCCCCCCCCCCATGAGCCTGTCCCCAGTAAAAGGGGTATGCTAGGTGGCCCAACATGTCCTCCTGACTTAGGTTCTGTGTTCTGCCTCTGGAAAACGCTAATGTGTCTGGTGGGCCTAGGTCTGGGCTCTCCCTGAAATTATCTAGCACAGACCTAATCAGCATTTTTCACCAGGTCGTTTCCCCCTAATTAAACAGTGATGGGAACATACATAAAAGGAGGCTCTTCATGAAATAGGATCCCTGGCCTCAGGAGGCCACCTGTGTCTATCTTGGAGGTTGAAGGGTGTCCCGGCTATAGACTGTCCTTCCTGCCGCCACTTGGTAGCATCACATGTTCTTGAGAAACTCCCAAAGCAGCTCTACCTTCTGGCCCTCTAGCAAGGGGACTGACTCACAAGATGTGGAGGGCAGGCTGCAGTTGGGCTGGGTCAGGCTGGGGGATGGGAATGGCCCTTGGTTTCCTATGCATAGCTCCATGAGTCACCACTTCTCAGGAGGAAAGTGAACACGGTTCCTCAGCCCCCAGATGTTGACAGCACCTGGCCGAAGGCTTGGCCTAGACTCTGGGCTTGTGGGAGTCCCAAGGGCAATGTAAGGAAGGTGTGTGGGGTACAGAAAGAACGGCCATGGTTTTTATCTGCCCACAGAGTACCGTGGACAAGCTGGAGAAGGAGAAGATGCCCCGGAAGGGTGGGCGGTGGTGGTTTTCCTGGCGCCGCAGGGACTTCCCAGCGGAGGAGGTAGGTGGTCATGGTTCAGGAGGTGGGGCCAGCGCAGGGCTGGAGGCCATCCAGTGATGGATATTCTTCCTACAGCGCAGTGCCCAGAGGGAGAAAACCACAGCCAGGGAGCAGCAGGGGTGAGTTGGACCCGCTGGTGACTTTGCAGCTGGGGCCTGGGGCCAGGCCGTGGTTCTTTTTCCTTGAGAATGTTCCCACTTCACAGATGGGAAAACTGGGACCTAGAGACACATCGAATGTCCCTCAGCCAGGAAATGGCAGGGCTGGAACAGGCACTCAGATAAGCGGCTGCGATGTTGAAGAGGGGTGAAGCCACTCTCTTCCCTACCCCACAGGGACTGGCTGATCTGGCCTCCTTTTTTCACCTCTGATGCAACTCAGCCTCCTGAGGATGGGCTGGCTGAAGCCAAAGAAGGGGAGCATGGGAATAAGCCCCAAGACACACATTAGGGGCTTATTTTCCCACATAAGCATCTCCAGAGCAGGCCCTGTGTGCTGGCAGTGGAGACACACTGAGGTTGGGCTCTGATCTGCTTTTACCTGCTGGGGTGGATACTGCCAGCCATCACCCAGGTGTTTGTCACCACCCCACACAGGTGACACCTAGAGGGAGGTGCAGCCTCGGGAGTGTCAGGGACAGGTTCCAGGCTGCTCAGGGCCTGGGCCAAGAGTAAGCACTTACTTAAGGGAAGCACCTTTGCATGGGGGAGGTGGCTTGAGTGCCCGCTCTGCCTGCAGGGAGAAGACTGAAGTCCTGAGCAGCGAGGACGATGCCCCAGACAGCCCTGTGATTCTCGAGGTCCCCCTTCCACCACCCTGCACTCCAGCCTGCATGCTCACCTACAAGAAATCCCTGCGCCTCACTTCTGATCAGATTGTAAGTATATGCACACGGTGTGTTTCTAGCAGGGGCAGGGCTGAGCTAAATCTGTCCCAGAATCTCAGAGCTGAGCTGAGACTGGTTACCAAAGGCCAGAATCCATCCATTGGGCAGCTGTCCTAAAGGCCAGAGGCAGGGGCTCACTTCTTCCCATGCCAGCCCATTTCTCTGTGGGATGCTCTGATTGGAAAAGTCCTCTCTTGTATCCTCCTGAGATATCTACCTGCAGTGACCTGGTTGGCTCTGGGTTTGCCTTTGGAAGTCACATCAATGGAATCAAATGCTGATAACAGCCCTTTGTATTTTAGCAACACCAGTCCTTCAAGTCACATGGTCCCCGAGCTCATAATGGGTGGCACTTGTAACAGGGACATTTTTCTTTGTGTATGGCTCCATGGTCAGGAGGGATCTAGGAGGGTCTGACCAGCCTGGTGCAGGCTCGCACACATCTCAGGGTCAGCCAACTGGCCTTGGTAAACAGCTGCCTCTGTTTTTCTCAGTGGATCACATATAGGCCTGCTTTTTTTTTTTTTTTTTTTGGAGGGGGCTGTATTGGGGATTGAGTCCAGGGGCACTTAACCACTGAACCACATGCTCAGGCCTTTTTATTTTGAGACAGGGCCTCACTAAGTTGCTGAGGCTGGCTTTGAACTTATAAACCTCCTGCTTCAGCCTCCTGGGTGGATAGGAATGTGCCACTGTGCCTGGCTGGCCTGGGTCTCTCTTTAAGGGAATGTTGAGTCAGGTACATTAGGCTTTCTGTGAAGACCCCCATAGGACTCCATCTGTGGAGTGGGGTTTCTCCCTGCCAAAAGTAGCCCCAACCTTGGGCTGACCCTTGACCTGGGCAAATCACAGGCATGGCTTGTCTGGGACTCATCTCGGAGAGCACAGGGAGGTCAGGGCTCCTGTGCCCCGCACTCTGCGGGGCCCTAGCCAGCATGAGCATCCTCTGCCCACATACGTGTGTCTGGCTGTCTTCAGGAAGGGTCCTGAGCTGGGAGGAAGAGGAGAATGAGAAGCCCGAGGGGGTCAAAGGTTGGAGAGGGGTGGATAATGCCTGGCTATACTGGATCACAACGAGCCCCTCTTTACCTGGCCCCAGCGGCGCCTGAACCTTCATGAAGGTGCCAACGATGTGGTCTTTAGTGTGACCACCCAGTACCAGGGCACCTGCCGCTGCAAGGCCACCATCTACCTGTGGAAATGGGACGACAAGGTGGTCATCTCCGACATTGATGGCACCATCACCAAGTGAGGCCCAGCTGGCCAGGGGAGGGGAGGGAGGGCCTGGGGACTCTGTTGGGTCTATGTAGGAGTGGGGGACAGTGTGGAAGGCCCTCCTTTCCTGTAGGCCATCCTGAGGCTGGGGGCTGGGCCCCACTGGGTTATACACATGGAAGAGGAGGGCCATGTAGGACAGCCTCAGAGTGACTCTTCTTCTCTGTCTGTAGGTCAGATGCTCTGGGCCACATTCTGCCCCAGCTGGGGAAAGACTGGACACATCAGGGCATCACCAGTCTCTACCACAAAATCCACCTGTGAGTGCCGGGTTGGGGCTGAGGCACGGAGTGAAAGGGTACTTAGGCCATCCTGACTTCTGCCCCTGGAAGCCAGGTTTGGGAAACAACAGGGCCCACAAGGGAGGCAGATAGCAGGTCCATGGAGCACTGAGACCCTCTTCCTGGTGAGCTGTCTGCCTGCTGGTCTCAGGCCAGGGGTAAGCCCTCCTCCGTCCTGGTCCACTGGGCCTTGGAACTATGTCCGTGTTCCTTTTAGCTAGGACAGCTACTAAGGTCACTTCTTTCAGCCCTGGCCTAGCCCTTCTTCCTGAGTCCTCCCATCTCCCTCTGCAAAGTTCTCTGGGTTTGTAGACCTGAGCCCCAGGGTTAGGCTGGGCTGAACTAGATGAGGCCAAGGGGACAGGATGAGAGTGGCTAGTCTCTGATGGCTCTGTGCCAACATGTCCTCCACCCTCCAGAAATGGGTACAAATTCCTGTATTGCTCAGCACGGGCCATCGGCATGGCTGACCTTACCAAGGGCTACCTGCAGTGGGTGAGCGAAGACGGCTGTGGCCTCCCCAAGGGTCCCATCCTGCTATCTCCCAGCAGCCTCTTCTCGGCCCTCCACAGGTAACCACCCCTACATAAAACAAGCCCAAGGCCCTTGAGGGAGGGACAGGTGCAACCAGGCCAGCATTCAGTCATGGGTGTCGGCCGGGGCTGGATCAGACCCCATGTCACCTGCCCCTGCCCCTCTGCCTCCTTCCCTGGCTGTGGCCATGGCTGTCCCAGGGAGGTAATCGAGAAGAAGCCAGAGGTGTTCAAGGTCGCCTGCCTGAGTGACATCCAGCAGCTATTTCTGCCCCATGGACAACCCTTCTATGCAGCCTTTGGCAACAGGCCCAACGTGAGTGTGCTCCCTCCCCAGGGCCGAGTCCCCACCTCTCCAGCCCCAGTGGCCTCAGTTCCACTGCCCTTGTCCTCCACAGGATGTCTTTGCCTACCGGCAGGTGGGCCTACCTGAATCTCGGATCTTCACAGTCAACCCCCGTGGAGAGCTCATCCAGGAGCTCATGAAGAACCACAAATCCACGTGAGGCCCAGCCCTGCCAACACGTCCCTTGCCCTGCCACATCCCCATGCCTTGGCCTCTCCCTGGGCCCCAATTTTACCTCCTCCCCGGCAGGATCCTGAGTCCCCACTTCCCGAGGTGGGTGCCGAGGCCTGGCCCTGCTCAGGCTCTGTTCTGCCCACAGGTACGAGCGGCTCAGCGAGGTCGTGGAGCTCCTCTTCCCGCCTGTGGCTCGTGGAGCCTGTGCAGACCTGGCCAACCCTGAATACAGCAGTTTCTGCTACTGGCGGAAGCCCCGGCCTGCCGTGGACTTTGACTCCCTGGCCTGAACCTGCTCTGGAGGCCCCTCCTCCCTGGCCTGGCCCAGGATTGACAGGGTATCTAGGGTTGGAATCAGGTATCAGGGTATGGGGGTTGGAAGCTCGGTGCTACGGGGAAGAAGAGGGCTGCAAGTGGACGGGCGACCACAGAGACCCTACCTCCTCTCTGAGCTGAAGCAGGTGGAGCAGCTGCTCCAGGCTTCAGCAGGGCCCTGAACTGTGGCAACTAGATGTTTCTCACCATCTTCTCTATGCCCTTGATGCTGCCCTGAGACCTTGCCTCAACTCCTGATAGGACAGAGAGAAGAGAGAAGCCCCACTGAGACTTGAGGGGAAGAGAGGGGGTCAGCAGCAGCAGGGGTGACTGAGTGGCATCTGGAAAGAACACAGTGCTCCCCCGGCTCCTTCTGGGGCCCTAGCCTGGACCATCTGAAGCCAGACTTTTATGTGGCCCTGCTCTGGTCCACAGTTCTTGAGCCAGGCATCACTGCTTCCCCTCACTGGTACCCTGGTATCTCAGTCCCAGGCCTGGATACTCCACGGTGCCTCTGAAGTCAGGGAAAGGGGATTCAGGGGTACTTGAGGGCTGAGAGAGTGTGGCTTCTGCTTGTCCCATCCCCACTCTTCAGCATGTCCCTGATGCTCTCAGCTCATTCCCTGAGGACTCAGCCTCCAACCCTGCCAGGGGAAATGGTGTTTGCTGACCACCCTGCCCTGGCCTCCATTGGTCAGTTCTGTGCATAGCTGTTAAGCAAGCACATGCCTGATGTGCTGTGGGATGCGAGGCTGACGCTGTCTTTGAAGAAAGCACCTTAGACTGGCTAAAAGCTTTAATTCAGGATCTGCCCTCCTCCAACAGTGACCGAGAGGAGGGCATAACACTGAATGTCCAGAAACCAGAAGGCAGGGCTATGGGACCTTCAAACAGCACAGGAGGCCCATGCTACTCGGGGGAAACTGAGTCCAGGAGCCCCAGCAGACACCAGAGTCTCTGAGGACAACTTGCTTTTTCCAATTGTCCTGTGAATTTCTCACCACTTTGTGAACCTTTGGCAGGGCTGGGAGCTGGCAAGGGTGTTAAAAGCAAGGCCTGGACCCCTTGAACTCCAGCTGTGGCTTGCCTCTCAGGGTCTGGCTTCCTTCAGGCCCTGATACCCATGAAGGCCACTCTTGGGTGAGAAGTACTGACCTGGGGGAAAGATTTTCCCCCAACTGGAAGGAAAGGACCCTACAGGCACCAGAGTGCTCTGAAAACCTGTTTAGGGAAGGAAAGGAAAGGGAGACATTGGGGTATCATCTCCAAACAGATTGCCTGGATCCAATGCTTCCTTCTGTGAGCGTCTACAGCTGCCTGTGCCCTCACCTTGAGGGAGGATCAAAAGGAATAAAGAAAACTTTAGGTTGCATCTCTGTGCTGCTGTTCTGTCCTAAAGGACATGGGGAGGGGGGGAGCTGGAAACACCTGGTAGTCTCCAGTCCTTCGGAAACGGCATCTGTGAAGCTGCCAGATGTGACAACAGTTCCAGTGGGAATCACCTTCCTGAAGACAACAACTAGTGACAGAAGCCCCCAAGCGCTTTAACTGCCCCTCGTAGGCAGAGGGAACTGGGGTGGTCCCTGTCTGAGAATGGGCCCAGAGTTGTACAGCTGCTAACTCTGGTGTGTCTGCAGAAGAGCAAGTTGCAGACTCTGGAATGTGTGCTGTGACTCTGGCCTTCAGGCACCATGACCTTGCCTTGACCACTATCCTGAATTGTCTAGTTTGTGCAGCACTGGCTTTTGATGGCTGGGACAGTTGTGCAGAGGTGAACCAAGACCATTCATCCAGTGGCTTCTGAAGTGGCATGTAGGCTGGACAGAGAAGGCTGGGAGGTGCTGCTGGGTAAGGGGGGCTCTGGGACATTGTTCCCAGAGTTGGTGGGATCTGGACTTAGATCCTGTCCAGCCTGCCTAGTTGGCTGGCCCTGGCCTCACCTGCTCAGCCAGCTGGGCCCGGCAGTCCAACAGGTCATCCTGAAGACGGGCAATGTCCTGCGTGTGCTGGGCCAGAGTGCGATTCAGCTGGTCTACGTGGCCCCACAGGCCTTCCCTGGACCTCAGCAGCTCTGCAGGCAAGCTGTCCAGGCTGGCAGCCAGCAGGCCCAGCCTCCCACATGCACCCTCCACTTGTGCCACCCGCTGGTCAAAGTGACCCACTGCATGCTGGAGTTCCTGGGCTGTGTCCTGGCAGCGGCTGAGGCTCCCTGCCACCGTGGCCACACCGGCCTTGAGTTGCTCCAACTCTCCTCGCAGGTTCAGGACCTGCCTGTGGCCAGCCTGAAGCCTTGAGCCATGGCTGCTGACCTGCTCCTGGATGGCATGGACTTCAGCTTCCACCTTGCGTTCCCGTTCATCCAGAGACGTGTTGGCAGCCAGGAAAGCGTCAGAGTACTGGCTGACCGAGTCACTGAGGCCTGTGAGCGATTTGCTCACTGAGTTCAGGTTGACCTTCAGCAGAGTGATCTCACCTTGGAGTGAGCTGCCGGTGCCTTCTGCCAACTGTCCCTGGACTTCGGCCACAGTACCATTGAGCTGTTGGAGCAAAGCTGTGTGGCTGGCCACCTGGCGTAGGAGGGCCTCACTCCGGCTCTGCCAGGCCTTCACCTCTGCCATGAGGTTGTCCAGAGTAGCTGAGGTGGTACTGGGGGTGCATGAGGTCTCCAGTGAGACCAGCCGTTGTTCCAGCACCGCCAGCTCTGCCTGCACGAGGGGCCGTGGCGACCTGCCTGGTGGGGCGTTGTCGTGGCTTAGCTCTCCAGTCAGTGTGGCCAGGCGCTCCTCTAGGCCCTGTACCCGCTCTTCCAGCATAGACCCAAAGCCACTCACACCCCAGCCTCCGGTCTCCATCCTCAGACAACAGCCCTTCACTCCATTCTCTGTCCCATTGAGGACCTCCAGGCCCTCAAGCAGCCCATCCACACCTCCCTCAAGCATGGCAGCAGACAGGTGTGCAAGCTCATCCCTGGCAGGGGTGCCAGGGCCCCTTTGGGCTTTGGTGACTGCCTGCAGGTTACTCTCGAGGCTGTCCACACGGGCACTGATCAAGGCCAGCTGGCTGCAGCAGCTGCCCCTGCCAGCTACACTCAGGCCCTGCAGCCTAGTGCCCAGTTGTGAGAGCTCCCGGCGAAGGGCCAGCTCCCGGCCATCAAGGCTTTGGTGCAGCCGCTGGCTGGCCGCCTGGCCCTCCTCACACTGCCGCCGCACCTCCTGCACACGCAGGTCACACTCACTCTGGACGCCTTGCAGCTTCTGCTCGAAGCCATCCAGCAGGCTACCCCAGAGTCGCTGTAGCCGTTGGTCCACATATTCTTCCAGCAGAGCCAGGGAGGTCAGTGGGGTTGGAGGGGCTTCCCGCAGCCGCTGCAGGTGGGCCTCATGGCCGAGGGCCAGCACGTGCACTTCATCCAGCAGTTGCACCTTGGTCTGCAGTGTGTTGCTCACTTCTGTCACCTTGCTCAGGATCTCGCCCAGGGGAGGTGTGAGTGATCCTCCAGGTCTGTCTCCTGAGTCCACAAGACCCTCAGGGATGACACCAAAGCCCACAGGGGCAGCAGGAGCTCTGGGGCCACCACTCATCCTGTTAGGGTCCTCGTGGCTGGCCACCAGGCCACTGAGAGTCCCATATGCTTGTGCCAGGCGCTGGACATCACCCTCCAGGCGTTCCAGCCTCTCACCAAACAGCCCTGGGCCTTTTCTTCCTGGGAAAGAGGAGGAGAGACCCCAGGAAAAGAATCACTGACTGACCCAGACTCCCAAGATACTTTCTTTTCTTTTTTTTTTTTTTAGGTACCTAGGATTGATCTCAGGGGCACTTGACCACTGAGCCACATCCCCAGCCCTATTTTGTATTTTATTTAGAGGCAGGGTCTCACTGAGTTGCTTAGCACCTCGCTTTTGCTGAGGCTGGCTTTGAACTCATGATCCTCCTGCCTCAGCCTCCTGAGCCGCTGGAATTACAGGTGTGCACCACTGCGCCCAGTCCAAGAAGGTTTCTGATCTAAGTCTACCTTCTGGCTGGGCATGGCTCCCTCAGCTTTGAGGCTGGGCTCAGGGGTGGGGCCTGAGGGCTCACTTTCGTGCCCCATATGAGATGTACCCCCTCTCTGGGCCTGCCAGAGCTCAGCAAGCCTGGACCAGACCCTTCCCTGCCCTTCCACCGAGCCCAATAAACCTGATCACCTTGGAAGATGTCCAGAGGCAGACTCACCATCAGGGCTTGGGGCTGCTCTGCTGTAAGAAGGAGGCCTGGGGCCTGGGCCCAGTTTCCCTGAGGGAATCTGGGGTTCAGAATCCAGATGTGGTGAGTGAGCCCCATGGTCCGTGAGATGCTCAGGGCAGCCTTCTCCAGTGAGGCCAGGACAGCAGCGCCAGGCAAGGTCTGTCACTGTCTTGTAGCCAACCTTGTATTTGGGTCTGATCACTGTGCGATACCTGGGCCAGGAAGGGGAGAGGGTCCTGCACCTGTGAGCTGAGATTCTTGCCCCTAGTTGATATTTAGGGCCATCTGTGGACACTTGCATAAAGTTTGGATTTCTCCCCACTTCCATGCCACCCCTTGGGTTTTCCTTTTTTGGTGCTTAAGGTAACAGGCTGGAGTGGTGGGGCAGCTCTGAGTTCAGTGAGTGGAGAATGCAGGTAGAAGCCTTTACTTCTCCTGCTTGCTTGGGAAGAAGGCTAGCAAGGACTTAGCCTCAACCTTCCCAAGACCACTTGGACCTTCTTTAGCTCATGCTGCCACAAGAAATCCCACTCAGGCTTCGGTAGTATCTCGGAGAACTCTGATGAAGCCTCAGCCCTCCCTGGGGTGTGTGCCCTAGAATTGGGGCCAGCAGCCCCTCTCACTGCCCTGAGGCCATGCCTGGCTCCCACCAGCTCTTGGTAGTCTTTCCGTTCCTCTCCAGCCTACTCCAGGAACTCCTCTCTGGTCAGAAGCTGGTAGTAGGGCACTCTGGTTCTGAGCAAGGAGGGGAAGGCTGAAGGA